ACGTTCAAATCTCCAGGCTTTAAGTTGGCGGTCACACCAGTTAGAGTCAAGAACTGTGCAAGATCATTATCATCAAAAAATGAAAGGCTGAATACTACAAAATCAGCTCAGCAAGCCCATAGCACAAGACAGTGTACTGCATTGCAAGAACTCTGCATCAAATCGTTATCATCAAGAACACAAGAAAGCTGAACATTCTTCGAGATCTCTGTCCACCAGAAGAACACAACAAAGAAACATCTTGAACGTCAATCAAGTACTGTGTGCAAGATCTGTGTCATCAAGAACAGTCGAATGAGTTGTTACTCACTAGTGAGTCTGTTCTTGTTTTGTTCTTGCTTTGTTCATTTTTGCAATGTATTTGTTGTCTAGAAAAGTCGAATGAATTGTTGTTTACTAGTTAGATTGTTCTTGTTTTGTTTAGCTTTGTTCAATTGTATTGCGTATGTTGTGCTGGCTGTTCAGTTTTAACAGAGAAATTACCAACAACGATTCCTGGGAAGAAATGCGTCGCTAGAGTATTTGTTTCATCATGTGTTCACACACTTTTTTGTACATACCATAGTCTACCATGAAAGTTGTATCGCAAACCACTACATTTGTTCCAGATTTGAGATTATTTTTGATCCTTTTTGCCAATTGTTTTACATAATTTGATGATTTTTTGGGCCATCAGCAGCACAAACTACACAGTCAGTTTACTGTGCACTTTGCACAGTTGACTGTGCCTTTTGCATAATCAAGTTCAACACTACTGTGCAAATTGCACAGCTATAGTAGTACAACTGTGCAAACTACACAGTACAATATAAACTACTGTGTAGTTTGCACAGTAGCCAATGAAACTACACAGTACACTGTGTACTTTTCTGAAAAGTACACAGTTGTACTGTGCAGTTCACTGTGCAAAGTGCACAGTAAACTGTGCAGTTTGCACAGAAATTTTTTGCGTTTTCACAAAAACTCTTGTGATTTTCAATGCGTTCAACCAAAAAATGCAATATAGTTGAAACAAACAGTGTGTTTGTAATGGTGATCTCTCCAAAGGGATCAGCGATGAAAAAGGGACCGCAAAAGGATGAAACCGATGAGCATGGTCAACAAAGAAGCTTCAGTTGATTCATATGCCTAATGCTGACCTAATAACAATAATTGGCCCGTGAATAATACTAAATCTGTTCAAAAACAGGTAATAAATTGCAACCAAATAATACTAAATTCTTTCTGGGCCCTGATTTTCAGCTGCTTCCAGACCTTGATTCATCCAAGCTGACTCTGAGCTTTCAGTTGATTCCAAAACCTGATTGTTTTGGTGGTTTCTTTACAATTCTTTCAGATTTTCTTCTGGTTGAAACGCCTTAGCTTTATTGAAGCAATCCTTTCTGGATGTCTGATTTGGCTGTCGCATGTTCCTTTTAAAAATGCTTATTTGGGGATTGCCCTTTGCAGCCTGAAATCAACCCGCAAAGACCACCCCCCCCACAAGCAGCCCAAACCTTCAATTACTCCAGACCTCAAATAAGACTAAACAATCCCTGGCTGGTTCTTTTGGCGGTTTCCTTTACATTTCCTTTTGATGTCCTTTTTGTTAAAAAGCTTGAGCTTTATTGAAGGCAATCCTTTCTGGATGTCTGATTTGGCTGCTGCACGTTCCTTTGAAAATTGCTTAATTGAGCATTGGCATTTGTAATCTGAAAATAACCCGCAAAGACCACCCCCCACTTTAGTTTTGTTGAGGGCTATGGTCGTTTAGGTTCAGCCGCTATACAATTCCTGGAGCACTACTTGCATTGATTGCTTTCATGTCCTTTCCTTCTATTTTCCGTGCATTTCCTTTCCTGTAATTTCCTTTCGTGTACTTTTCATCTTTTTCATTTCTAGTTCAAATGAATATTTTCTGGATGTTTATGGATTTCACTGATTTCACATTATTTAGGGCCCGAACTTGATCAACGGGGGCGGGGAGGGGGGGTTTATTGTTTAGAGGTGGACATTACACCTGATGGCACAGCATCCAAGGTTTGACAGAAAGGAGGCCAAGCTTCTTTCGAGGCACACAAACAAACACACAAAAGCACAAAACACATACGATCAGAAAAACAAGCAAGCCAACAAAAACACAACAAACATCACCGAGCAAATCAAAAAAGCAAACAACAAACAAGCAAACAAAAGCAACAAGCAAACAAACAAACAAACAAACAAGCCACGCAACGCAACCCAAAAAAAAACACCCAAACACAACAAAACACTGCAAACAAAAAGCAACAAACAACTACAACACAAACACCCAACTGTGCAAACTGCACTCTGAACTGTGCAATTTGCACTGTTCAAGTTTGAGCTCTAAAGACCAACTGTGCAGTTTGCACTCTGGAGAGTGCAAATTGCACAGTTGTAGCCCGGACTAAATGATCATTTACTCTCCGAGAATTTAGTCGGGATCCGGCCGGACTAAATGATCATTTACTCTTTAGTCCCCGGACTAAATCCTTAGAAGAGTAAATGTAGACTCAAGTGATCTATCAGGTGGGAACCTTGGAGCAAAGTTGTGGGAAGGTTGTGGAACAAAGTTGTGGGAACCTTGTGGAACCTTCTTGTGGGAACCTTGCAGGAACCTTGGGAACCTTCTGGGAACCTGGCGGGAACCTGGCGTGAGCCTTGTTGGAACCTTGTGGGAACCTGGCGGGAACCTTGGAACCTTGTTGGGAACCTTGTGGGAACCTAGGAACCTTGTGGGAACCTTGCAGGAACCTTGGGAATCTTGTGGGAACCTTGTGGGAACCTTGCAGGAACCTTGCAGGAACTTTGGGAACCTTGTGGGAACCTGGCGGGAACCTAGGAACCTTGTAGGAACCTGGCGGGAGAAACTTGGGAACCTTGTGGGAACCTTGTGGGACCCTGGCGGGAACCTGGGAACCTTGTGGGAACCTTGGGAACCTTGCGGGAACCTTGTGGGAACCTGGCGCGAACCTAGGAACCTTGTGGGAACCTTGCAGGAACCTTGGGACCTTGTGGGAACCTTGCGGGAACCTGGCGGGAACCTGGCGGGAACCCAGGAACCTTGTGGGAACCTTGTGGGAACCTTGGGAACGTTGCGGGAACCTTGCAGGAACCTTGGGAACCTTCTGGGAACCTGGCGGGAACCTGGCGTGTGGGAACCTTGTGCTTGGGAACCTTGGGGGAACCTTGTGGGGCAAAGTTGTGGGGACCTTGTGGGAACCTTGGAGCAAAGTTGTGGGAACCTTGGAGCAAAGTTGTGGGAACGTTGTGGAACAAAGTTGTGGGAACCTTGTGCTTGGGAACCTTGGGGGAACCTTGGAACCTTCTTGTGGGAACCTTCTGGGAACCTTGTGGGAACCTGGGAACCTTGTCGGGGACCTGGGAACCTTGTCTTTCGAAGCTGCTCCGAAGCCTTTACTATGGCTGAAGACCCCAAAGCATTCTGCTGTTGGGGAAAAAACAGGAAGCTGCCGGAAAAGATGAATAAATGACGTGAGATAGGAGGTGTAAGTACCAGGAGGCATGATGAAACATGATGCGCAGGCCGATTCTTATGTCAATTCCCCTCCCTCCCTGAAAAATAGTAGAAAAACATTAATAAAATGCTTGATCATCAGCTGGCGACAATTCCCAAGTCATGAGGCTTGAATCAGCAACTCTGCAATTTTTGTGTTCCCAACGACTTAGGTAGTGGGCCACAACTACTATGTCACTGGCCCACACAAGTCCTAAGTCACCGGTCGGTCCGGTAGTATAGATGTACTGTACGCACTGTACGGGCACTGCTGCGTTCTTCACTAACCGGTCTCTCCCAACCTGTCAGTTACTTCTGTTTGGTGCTCCCGTCGCTGCCACCTTGGGCTGGTCTTTTGCGCTTGCGCGCGCACCATTGACTCCCCGTGACATGGCTCTTAGCTGGTCGGGCTGGTGCCTTTTGGGTTGCATTGCACGCACCTTTGCGGCATGGTGTCAAGCTGTGGATGCAGTCACTGTTTGGAGATGGACTGGTCATGTTCTCCGCACGAGCCCCAATGTTGAACCAAACCCGCCTCGTGTGATTGCGTCTCTGAAGACAAGTCCAGGTTGTTTGACGCCACACTCACTGCACGCAGCCCATTTGCAATATGCACCAGTTTCAAGGTGCCCGTTGGCAGCCCCATCATGACGATGTCCGAGCTCTTTACCTCACTCAACACACTCTGCGTGACGCATCACCCTCAACAATGTACCTTACCCAACCCGCTGACGCAACATCGGCTGAGGTTTGACTTCCAGATTCTAGCGGAGCTTACCCGCAACGCTTGAGAAGGAAAGTGACCAGTTTGTCAATGATCAAGCGGATCGATCGAATTTAATCAAAAAAGGATGCGCCCCACATTCTGAAATTAATTGCGGGGTGGGGGGTGTCTCTCAATTAATGTAGTCCCTTGATTTATAAACCCCCCCCTCAACAACCAAGGCCTCCAAAATAATATATAAGAAATCAATCAATTGATAATTAAATAAGGGATCCTTAGCTAGCTACCTCTCTCCAAATCTCAATGGAAATCCTCAGAAGCCTCCAAATGTGATTGTTTGTTTCCTTTGCTTCCTGAACCTTGTTTGATTGCTTGTGGACGCCGCTTTCGCTACCTTTCAAGGGATCCCTTCCGCCATTTGTCTTTGCATCCAATGCGATGGCTACGCGCGCTTGCTGAAAAGGCTGCTGTGGTGCGGCTGTCTTCACGAAGCGGAGGCTTCGATTTGCTACCGAAACTGGTAGCGGAGCCTTGTGCTCCTGGTTCCTGGGTCGAAGGGCCCACACACACGCTACCACTGCCTTGACTCCCTCGATTACACGAGCGGCTGCTTGGCACCTCCCTGTGGCTAGGTTTCGTTCCTTTAAGGTTGCGGCCTTCCTGGTGTTCTTCCTGGTCTGGTTTGGTTCACCTTCGTGTTTGACGACCTCTGTGTCCCTGTCTACCTCATCACGTAGGGTGCCTCCTCCCTCCTTGGCTATGACGACCGTGACGGCCAAGGATGTCTATGTGTCTTGGAATGGCGATCTGAATACCTGGCCAGATTTCGTTCGAAAGGTGAGACTCCAGTATGAGAAGACGCAGCCAAGCAAACGCTACTTGCTTGGCCCTGAGCTTGTGAGTCGCTTGACGGACAAGGCTTGGCAGGCTTCGTACGAGATCGACCATGACCGCCTTTCTGGACGCCATGGAGTGAAGTACATGCTCAGCTTCCTTCGTGACAAGCTCTGCCGTGCACCGGTCCCCGATGCAGGGGCCCGCCTCGAGGATCTACTGATCCGACTCCGTCGACAGCCCGGTACTCCTTTTGCTCAATGGGCTCATGAGGTGAGAGAGCACTACCGACGACTTCAACGTGCCCTTCTCCGAGCTCGACAAGAAGCCCAACCTAAGGAGACCTCCATGAAGAAGAGCTCAAAAGGAAGCTCCAAAAAGAGCCATGGTTCAACAGCCACTGAACCGGAACCTCGACCTTCATCCACTGGCAGTGACCACTCGCCTTCGAGGAGTGTCCGTAGTCGAGAACCTGCCATTCCGGAAGATGAGGAGCAAGAAGAAGAAGACGGAGAAGAAGATGAAGTGGACGATGGCTCTCCTTCCAACCGTGGTGGCTGGAACACCTGGTGGCAATGGGGCAATCAGTGGACTGTTGAAGAGTGGAATGAGTGGCTTGGCAAGAAGAAGAAGCATGATGGCTCTGACTCCTGGTCTGCCTACGCTGAGGACGATGAGGACATGAATGTGCCCTGGGACGAGCTCGAAGTGAACGATGCTGAAGTTCTTCCTGATGAAGTGTTAGGATGGATCTTGCTTCGACGAGCTGGATTGTCCACTCAGAGCCGACTCTCGGTTCAGGCCTCAGTTGGGAACAGCCTCAAGTTTGAAGCAATTGAACGTGCTCTTCGTGACCAAGAAGAAGAACTTCTCGCAGCTGAACGACGACCAGTTGGTGGAAAAGGGCATGGATATAAGGGTTCAGCTCCAAGGAGAACGTTCTGGGTTGAACAGGATCGAGAATGGGGATTGCTGGATGGTGAACCTGATGAAGAATTACAAGTTCACTGGGTTGGCCACAAGCTTCCCGATGACGTTTACCAGCATCCCGCTCCGACCCATGAACCTATGCCTGAGGAAGAAGAGACCTATTGGGGTAGTGCTTCATGGGATGATGGTTCCTGGACTACCTCTTCGGCATGGTGGAATGACACCGAGGCTGAGTTTGAGTTCTCACCGGAAGAGCAGAAGCAGATTGATGAGGTCTATGCGGCCTATGAAGACAAGGTGAGGACTTTCGCGCAGGCCAGAAACCTGATGAAGAGCAAGACCAACAACCGAGGCTTCTTCCCGATGGTGAAAGGCAAGTTCTCCAAGGGCAAGGGCTCTTTCAAAGGAAAGCAAAAGGGAGGACCGTCTCCCGTGATGGCTGCCTCCTCCTTTCAAGGCAGCTCAAGCCCTGGCAAGGGACGACAACGTCCAGGTGAACCTGACTATACGGGATGCTTCATTTGTGGAGCTCGTGATCATTCATTCCAGCAATGCCCAAAGCGACATCAACGAAAAGGTGGTGGCAGTGCACACTATGTCGACGTTCTCTATGCCTCTCTGGAGAACGACACCTACACGACCAATGAATTTGACAGCTCGGTCTTCATGGCTCAAGACGACTCCATGGATGCTGAGGAAACCATTTCAGCGTGGACTGTTCAGCCCTCAGATGATCAGTTCCACGCGGTGATCGACTGTGGAGCTACCGAGACGGTTGCGTCCTTGCATGCACTGACGGCCATTATGAATCGCCGCCAGTCCAAGTTTGGCTATGAGGAGATCCGTGTCAACCAGGACGTCCGGAAGACATTCAAGTTTGGAAATGGACGCACTCTCCAAGCCACTTCATACGTTGAGATCCCACAGAGCATTGGTGGCACCCATACTTGGCTTGGAGTACATGCTCTGGACACGGACGATCGCTATGTGCCACTGCTCCTTGGCATGAGGACCCTTGAGAGGCTCGCAGCGGTGATCGATTTCGGCAGCAAGACTGCCAGCTTTTGTGCTGTGAGTGATGAATTGGTTCCGCTGCAACAATGTCAGCGGACAGGTCACTTGCTTTTAGATCTTTCCTCTGATTGGCTTGACGCCCGATTCGATGAGGTATATATGGAGCATCTTTCATCGTCACAAGCCATGGTTGTCGAGAATAGTAATCATCTAGATCAAGCAGAAGCCGGTCATATTGACGATTTTGCACATGAGTATCAGTTTGATGAACCCTTTGTTCCTCCTCCTTCACATCAAGAACTTCTTCCTTCCGAACCTCTTGTACTTGCTGAATCTCCCACGTCTGCAGGTTTTGGGTTCGAGTCTGAAGTTTGCGAGGGCACGAACCCGGGGATTTCACACGATAGCCATGTCCGGGACCCCGTCGACTACATGCAGTCAACCCGAGACACCGAAGAAGGTGACGGCGAAGGGGAAATCCAAAGGGCAGAAGAACCAGAAGCTGCCCGACGACCAGATCTACGACTTCGCCAGGAAGGAAGGGCCGGATCCCAGAGATCCTCGGTTCAAAGGAGGACCGTGCAAGGGCCAGCATGTGGAAGCCCCCTTCGGACGTGGCTCTCCATCCGGGAAGAACGGATGGGCAATGTGGAAGACATGTCAGAATTGCATGCTTCGCCTCGAGTACACCCCAGCATATGGCGCTCATGCCAAGTACAGGAGTGCAGGTCCTCTCAGCACCGACACCAAGGACCAGCTGATCGAGAAGGCGAACGAGATCGAGAAGGACCCTTCTGTGCTTCGTACAGCGGAGGTGGCTTTGGATGGCGCAGAGAGGAGTCTCCATCGACGTTTGGAGACCATCCAGAAGCAGAAGGAGGCCCTGAAGAAGGACAAGACCAAGGACGAGCCCCAAGCCATGAGAACCACTACACCAACTCAGAGGAAGTCGAAGAGGACTGGTTCTCAAGGTGCAGAGGCACTGGAAGCAGCAGCGGAGGAGTCGGACGGCTCTTGGACCGAGATGCCTCCGACGGGTGCGAACTGACCACGCCAGAGAGCGTGAAGTGTCTGGTGGCCGAGACGATGAATGACACTACGACGGCCATCAATGACAGCTTGCATGAATTTGTGAACCTTTCCTTTGACTCCATGCCTGGAGTGGTACTGTTTTCTCCTGAAGCGCGCAGCCTAGATCTTTTGGAAGTGTGCTGTCCTCCTGATAGCGCACTCGCAGCTATGGTGGAAAGACTCGGAGGATCTTCAGCCAGAGTGACCGAACACAACATGAATTTGAACTCAGTTGATGGCCTGACCCAAGCTATTAGCTTTGTGAGAAGAGAAAAGCCGAGATGGATGTGGCTATCCCTGCCTTGTGGGGCTAATAGTCCCATACAACATCTCAACGAGCTGACTGAACAAGCCTGGCTGAAATCTCTGGCTCGCCGGAAGAAGTCTAGAAAACTAGTCCGTCGAGCTCTTCAACTCCTTCGAGTGCATGTCTTTGAAAATGGTGGACACTTTGGTTGGGAGTGGCCAAAGACGAATGATGGTTGGCACCAAAAGGAGCTGAAGGATTTCTTCAAGGAGGTCCATGAGAAGAAGCAGAACCTCTTCCGCACATTGCTCCATGGTTGCCAAGTAGGAGTTGTGAATGACAAGAATGAGCCCGTGCTGAAGCCCTGGACGATCTATGTGACTGACCGTGCCATGGCTTCCGCTTTGCACCTTGTATGCCCTCATGATCACCAACACGGAGAAGCTATGGGAGGCCAGTCGGCCAAGAAAACAGGCTTCTACCCTCCTCGAATGGTGAGAATCATTGCTAGGCAGATCCTACGACGTGACCTACCCCCTCACGTTGAAACTGCGCAAGAAAAAGATGAAGAGGCACTCTTAGCCTATGGGGTGTCTGAGATTGAGACTGTTGCGCCTGATGGTGTCTCTCCAGTCGAATGGAAGAGAGTTTTAGCATTGGTCAAGAGACTTCATGTCCGAGCAGGTCATCCCTCCACAAGAAGTTTGGTTGCCACCCTGAAAGCGAGAGGAGCACATCCCCTCATCACCTTGGCGGCCAAGTACATGCATTGTGATGACTGTGCAGAGACCAAGCGATCAGTTCCTGCAGCCCGAGCGAGCTTTAATCGTTCGGACACTCTTTGGCACACCTTGCAAGTTGACAATGCGTACTTCAAGGTAGGCACCAAGACGGTGACCGCCATGATCATGGTTGATGAGGCTTCTACTTTCATGGTACCCCATCTCCTACATCGGCTTGACGAAGGAGAACATGAGAATGCCACTGCTGAACAGGTGGTAGATGCCTTGCAGAACTCCTGGATTCGATTCTTTGGACATCCTTCGGTTCTTCGACTTGATCCCGAAGGAGCCTTTCGCTCACGGCTGCTAGAAGACTTTTGCGGCACCCGTGACATCGAGCTTCAGCCTTGTGCAGCTGAAGCCCACTATCAGATCGGTGTTGTGGAGCGTGCCATTGGGACACTAAGGAAATCGGTGGAGCGCTTCCTTCGCAGCAACGCAGTTGATCCCTGGGAGGCCATTGTGACCATGTGTGCAGCTCATAATGAAGTTGGAAAGATTGCGGGTTTTTCTCCAGCTCAATGGGCACTGGGACGTTCCTTGGGCATCGATGAGAAGATTCATGAGAGCGGAAGAGAAGCTACGAGTTTCCATGAGTCTCAACGAGCTTCACAAGACAGAGTGCAAAAGACCATGGTCCTTCGTCTCAAGGCTGAGCAAGAGTACAAGAAGAACATGGCTCAAGAGGCCATCAATCGAGCCTGGAACTCCAAGGCTCAAAAGCGTGAGATTTGGACTCCTGGCACACTCATTTACTACAAGCGGTATAAGGCACCTTCCACGTCTTTGGCGTCACACAAGGATGTTGATGTGACAAGACGACAAATAGCTCGCTGGTATGGCCCAGGTCGTGTGGTCGCTACTGAGAGCTTCTTGGACGGCGACTCAGCGAGGCCTGGTCACATTGTCTGGATTACTGCTGGTGGTCGCTTGAAGCGTGTTGCTCCTGAACAATTGCGCCTGGCTAGCGAGACAGAGAAGATTCTGGCTGAGGCTGACGGTCCACCTCGCTTTGACTGGACCATTCAAGGTATGCTGCAAGAAGTTGATCGTGGACAATTTGATGTTTACGATGATTTGCTGCAACCGAGCCCTGCGACTCCGGCCCGGCGATCTCGAAGCGCAGCGCCACCAGTGAGAGGCAGCTCAGCTAGGAGTAGGACCCCTGTGATGAAAAGAGAAGAACCAACAAGATCGCATGTAGATCCCATAAGCCGCAAAAGACCTCAAGAAAATTCGGATGTTCGACCATTAGGAGATTCGAAAAGAAAGAGCGGCAAAGAGATGCCACTAGGGACTGGTCAGGCACAGTCGGCATCGGGTTCAGTGAAAGGGACATCACACCCTGGAGGCTCTAGAATGGTTTCTCTTGAAGCGACTCCTAATGCCCCATCCTTAGCTAGCTCAGATTTTTCGCCCGGCCGCTATCTCAGCGACCCTTCCTGCGAATTTCCAACTAGCCATGGAGCTGCTGGCAAGAGCTGGACTGGTGAGCTCAAACGCAATGAGCTTTTCAAAAAGGCTCAAGAACGGCACGGTGAAGCGAAGATGGTTGAGGAAACCTCATTTGCTTGCGAGTCACTTCAACCTGAAGATGGTCAAGGTGAACCTCCTTTGTTTGTTGCCATGTCTTTGGAGCTGCCCACAGATGAAAAGAGCATGAAGCAGTTCAAGCGAGACCCAGTGACTTGGACAGCGAACAAGTTGAAGAAACATGTTGAAGTGAAGATGGAGCATCTTACTCCAGAACAAGTTGAAGACATGAAGAAGGCCAAGTCTTTGGAAGTTGGTCAATGGATCCAAGCGGCTGCCTGCAAAGCTCTTGAGGGGCACCAGATCGCTCCTCGCAGCCGGACCATGCGGATGCGCTGGGTTTTGACCTTCAAGTCCTCTGGCGCAGCGAAGGCTCGAATAGTGATCGTAGGTTTTAGTGACCCCGACCTTGGAAGCCTTAGTACGACTAGTCCAACAATGAGTAGACGCACTAGACAACTCATGATGACCATGGCTTCTTGTTGCGGTTGGTCACAAGTGAAATGCGATGCCAAAAGCGCATTTTTGCAGACTAGCGAGAACACCGAGGAACACCGGAGTGTGTTCGCAGTGCCAGTTCCAGAGCTGGCAATGGCCATGGGAGTTGAACCAGGCAGGGCAGTCCAGGTGGTTAAAAGCTGTTATGGTCTTTGCAATGCCCCTCACCAATGGTACCTCGAAGTTAGAAACAAGATCCTTGAATTAGGAGGTGAGGCTTTGAAGACGGAACCCTGCTGCTGGAGGATCAAAGATCCTTCCACGAACTCGGTCGTTGGCCTTGTAGGAAGCCATGTAGATGATTTCTATATGATTGGGGACGATGGAAACGAAACGTGGAACTTGTTTTTGCATCGTTTTAAGGCTTCATATCGTTGGAGTCCTTGGGAGTGTGATTCATTTGACCATTGTGGAGTTCAATTGCATCAAACCCCAAGCAAAGAAATCATTTTGGATCATGCAAAATTCTGCACTGGCATACAGCAAATTAGCATCACCACTAAAGACCCGAAAGCACCAGCCACTCCTCAAGAAGTTGAGCAACTTCGAGCCGTTTTGGGCGCGGCACAGTGGCGTGTGGTCCAGTCTGGACCCCAGCACGGGGCCAAGTTGAGTCAGTTGCAGAGCAGGATCACCAAAGCTGATGGCCAAACATTGGCTGAAGCGAACAAATTGGTGAGAGAGATTTACAATGATCGCATGCTTTCTCCCAAAACCCAAGTGTTGGAGTGTTCCCCTGACGAGGTTGAATTTGTTGCTTGGAGTGACGCTGCTTTAGCCAACAGGGTTGACATGGGTAGTACTGGTGGTTACGTTGTTGGTGCCACTACCAAAGACCTTCGAGAAGGAAAGAAAGCACGCGTGAACTTTGTAGGTTGGAAAACCTTCAAACTCAAAAGGATCGCAAGATCCAGCCTAGCGGCAGAGGTGCAAGCCTTTTCGGAGGCTGAAGAGGAACTTATGTTCACGAGACTCCAGTGGGGCGAAATGCTCGGTCATGACCTCGATCCTCGATCTCCTGAAGATGTGTTGGTTCGTGTTCCTGGGATTCATGTTACCGATGCCAAGTCCCTCTATGACTCGGTTCAGAAGGGTTTGGTGAACACAAGCGGTTTAGGACTTTCCGAGAAGTACAGTGCTTTGGAGCTTTTGTCGGTGATGGAACGCTTGGACAGAGGTCACACGGAGACTCGTTGGGTGAATTCTGACGCTCAACTGGCGGATGCTTTAACAAAGCATCAATGTCAGAGCTCCTTGCATCAAGCTTTGGTTCAGGGACATTGGATCCTGGTCTATGATCCCCTTTTTGTTTCTGCCAAGAAGCGAAAGGCAGCTAAGCTAGGTCCAAAAGCTTAGGGGCGTGTGATTGTTTGTTTCCTTTGCTTCCTGAACCTTGTTTGATTGCTTGTGGACGCCGCTTTCGCTACCTTTCAAGGGATCCCTTCCGCCATTTGTCTTTGCATCCAATGCGATGGCTACGCGCGCTTGCTGAAAAGGCTGCTGTGGTGCGGCTGTCTTCACGAAGCGGAGGCTTCGATTTGCTACCGAAACCAAAAGCACCAAATCTCAATGGAAATCTCCAAATTTTGAATAGAAATCTCCATCCAAAAGCCTCCAACAGCATCAAATCTCAATGGAAAGCTCAAATTTTTTATTAGAAATCTCCATCCAAAAGCCTCCAAAAGCATCAAATCTCAATGGAAATCTCCAAATGTTGAATAGAAATCTCCATCCAAAAGCCTCCAAAAGCATCAAATCTCAATGGAAATCTCAATTTGTTTATAGAAATCTCCATCCAAAAGCCTCCAAAAGCATCAAATATCAATGGAAATCTCCAAATGTTTAATAGAAATCTCCATCCAAAAGCATCCAAAAGCATCAAATCTCAATGGAAATCTCAAATTGTTTAATAGAAATCTCCATCCAAAAGCATCCAAAAGCATCAAATCTCAATGGAAATCTCCAAATGTTTAATAGAAATCTCCATCCAAAAGCCTCCAAAAGCATCAAATCTCAATGGAAATCTCAAATGGTTTAATAGAAATCTCCATCTAACAGCCTCCAAAAGCATCAAATCTCAATGGAAATCTCCAAATGTTCAATAGAAATCTCCATCCAAAAGCCTCCAAAAGCATCAAATCTCAATGGAATCTCAAATTGTTTAATAGAAATCTCCATCCAAAAGCCTCCAAAAGCATCAAATCTCAATGGACATCTCCAAATGTTTAATAGAAATCTCAATCCAAAAGCCTGTAAGATAAGCAAATCCCAGCAAACTCAACCCCTCCAAAAAAAATAAAGACATTATTCTAGGGGCCTTTATAAATCAGTGCAGGGAAAAAACAATACATTATTCTGGGGGGGTTTATAAATCTGAGGGCCACATTATTGTTGTTCAATTAATATGTGTTGTTTATTAATTGAAAAGCCTAGTAGGTGCTGGTCCTCAATTAATTTCTTCAAAAACACCCGAAATTAATCCATGCGGCCCCCCTTGGGAAATTATTCGAGGGGGTGGGGTCACCTCTTGATATAACTTTGAAATACTTGTTTCAATAATTATTTGACTGAGGTGGGGTGTCGGATGGGTCCAGAAATAGAGTTCAACTTGACGTGTCGGTGGGTCAAAAGAATTACAATTTTTTTAGGTGGCAGGAATCCAAAATACTGTTTCAAGGAATCAGGATGACTCAGGTATGTGATTCTTGAAATCGGTTTTATTAGTATAAAGAGTAGCAGAAATTTGAAGAGGTATCTTATACCCTCAACTACTTAGGGTCTGAAATCAGTACACCCCGGGGTCCTGGAGCCAAAGCTGGAAGTTGATGGATTTCTGTAGACCAGTAAAAAACAATATTATCTATTTGGGGTGCCTTCGGGGGTCCCCACCCCCCAAATAATATAGATAGGGTGGTGGACCCTGGGAGAGCTCGAGGACACTGGGTGCCTTGGGGAGTCCCCCACCCTCCAAATAATATAGATAGGGTGGTGGACTCTAGGAGAGCTCGAAGACACTGGGTGCCTTGGGGAGTCCCCCACCCTCCAAATAATATAGATAGGGTGGTGGACTCTGGGAGAGCTCGAGGACACTGGGTGCCTTGGGGGGTCCCCCACCCCCCAAATAATTTAGATAGGGTGATGGATTGCTTTCTTTGCGATGAGATCTGTAGAGTTGCCATGTGTCTTTGCGCATGAGTTTGTTGAAATTATTTGAGAGGTGGGGTAGGGTTCTGGCATACCCCTTATGTTGAGCTACAAGAATTTTGTTGGAATGTGTTTTTGTGGTGTCTTGAATTTTTGTGGTGAGAGGTGCTTCACCTCTCAACATAATTATGGGGGCTCCCCGTCAGGGACCACCAAAATAATTTTGTTATTACTTGGGAGGTGGGACCACCCGTAACACCCTGAAGCGGGGGAGCATATTAATCCTAATTAACTTTTTTAGGTAGAGACTCTAGAAAAACGACTAGAAAAGCATCATACACCACACCTTCAGAAATTAATTGGGAGGTAGGGTGTGTCTGTCAATTAACGTTTGTTCAATTAATATGTTTATGGATTATTTGGCAGGCCTAGTAGGCGTTGGTTCCAAAATAACTTACTGTATCTAAAACACTCGAATTTAATCTCAATTAGTTTTTCAGTTGGAGACATACACCAATCACTAAGCAGCTATTTGGTTTCTAAATGGTCTTGAGTTTCCACTACAAAACAATGGCCGCGCGATGCAAGTCCCAGTCATTAGTTCGCAGTGGAAACTCAAGGTTCCTTTTTTGTCAAAAATTAAAAGGTGTTCCTAGGGCATTAGCCATGAAGCTAGTGTAGGAATACACAAGCATGGAATCAGGCAAAGGAATTAGGGTCAACATAGCAAACCTCAAAGTAGCTAGTGTTTTCACTTTTTGCTGTTGAACTCCAGGAGTCAACTCCGGTGTTTAAACAAGAAACACAACTTTAAATTCAACTCCAACTGTAGAATTAAAATACTATAAAAAACATATAAACAAATAATGAACCCCATAGAGCAAGCAACGTTGCCATGAAGGTGTTTGCCTCCTTGAACGGCATGAGAAACATCATGTGAACTGTTGTCACCACATTCGCTGGAACGGTTCCCCCAGGAACAATTCTCTGGCCAGCCTTGGTGTTTTTGTTCCGGCCGCACCTCCAAAACCCAACCACCACCCCAAAACGAATTCCAGACATTGCGCAGGACGAGAAAGGTCTCACGACCAAGACCTGCCTCGAATCTTGGTAGGCCGCCACTGTGGTTCCAAAGATGCTGTAGCTGTCTCCGGCGAAGTCTCTTCAACCTGCTTGATGACCCGATTGTCATAGTCCTTCCACATTGTCTGCCGCGATTGGCGCGGCGCAATGCGGAACATTGGAAGGCCTGGCGGGCCAATGCCAGGGAATACTCTCGCATATTGTGCTTCGGGGCGCTTGGGGCCGAGGACCGTTGCTTTGCTCAAAACACCTTCGCGGACTCGGACGAATGCGCAAAAGTTGAGGAACTGTCTGGCCAACTTCCGCGCTGTCAAGTCTTCCTAAGGCTGAAAACCATTCAACCCTGCGCTCTGGAGAACATCCGCTAGTGTGAAGACTGCTGTGTCTGTGAGTTTTGAATCGCACGAGTTGTCCTCCTCGGCCTTTCCTCCTCATGAGCTTCAACAGGATCACACTCTGGCAATCACCTGTGCTGGAGCTTGCCTCCTGCGCTTGTAGTTTCTCAATCTCCTTCTCAGCCGGGATAATGTCAGCTACGGAGGTCAGACTGTTTAGCAAATTCTTTTCCTCCTGCTGCTCAGGAGCAAGCGCACCGTTTGCTTCCTCGTTGCAATCCTCATTCTCTGGCAAGTCATCCTCATCGCAACCATCCAACGGGTTGGATAAAAGCAAATCCTGGCCGATCTGCTTCCACCATGCCTCGTATTCAGCACGGATCTGACTGGCCTTCTTCCCGATGGAAAAGCAGCTTGCTAGAAGACAAACTTGGTCCAGCGCAATTGGTGCCAAAGTGGCCACATCGACAGGCTGAGCAAGCAATCTAGTTGAGGATGCCTGCCAAACATGGTGTTATGAAAGTTATTTGGGAGGTGGTTGGGCAGTGAACCACCCCCTAATTAATGTCAACCCCGGATTAATCTGCCCCCCCCCCAACGTAGAAGGTCAACAAGGTCAAGAAGGTATGAGATACCACTCATGAGGTCCACTCCTCCTGAATTATCGGCTCAGGGAGCCATCATAGTCGCAGCCGTCGTCGGTAGTAGGTAGTAGTAGGTAGTAGGAAGTAGGTAGTAGGTAGTAGTAGGTAGTAGGTAGTAGTAGGTAGTAGGTAGCAGGTAGTAGTAGGTAGTAGTAGGTAGTGGTAGGTAGTAGGTAGTAGTAGGTAGTAGTAGGTAGTAGGTAGTAAGGTAGTAGTAGGTAGTAGGTAGTAGGTAGTAGGTAGTAGTAGGTAGTTGTG